AACACGACATGTACAAACACAAGTTGTTTTCTTCGGCAGATGTTAGGAGCCGGTGATAGACTGCTTTTTCGAACCGTTTTGATAACCCTGAGAGAAGGCTGATTGATCGATAACTTGAAGGAGAGGACGGATCCTTTCCAGGTTTCCGGATGGGTATGACTTTAGCTGACTTCCAACACGAGGGGAAGTAGCCAAGTCTGAGGCATTGATTAAAATTCAGTGCCAGATGGTTCTAGAATCTGGAACTCAGATTCAGGATGTTGTCGAAACCTGGGGCCTTCATGTTTTAAGATGATTTGATATAGGCCAACAGTTCGTCAGTCGTAATCTCGGATTCCTTCGGTAAAATGTTGAGAATCTGACGATGATTGGTTGTATTTTCAGCTGACGATGTTTTGCCCGAGATTATGGGAGCTGACGAAGTGTTGACCTATCGCGGCATAGCCTTCTCTTCAGGAGTTATCAGATGAATCACTGGGTTGCCGGGACGGTCCAGTGGGGTCAGTGGTGGAATGGGTCTTGGCTTGTTTTTAAGGATTTTCGTTAGTTTCCAGAAGGGCTTTGCACAGTCTGGGAGAGAGCGGATCTTCCAGCAGCACCACCCTAATTTCAAATCGGCTAAAAAATACGAATAAGCTTTCCCGAAGACACCATATACCTAAAAGTTATGGTTTTGGTGCTAATATTTTTGTCTTCATAAATACGGCTTTTATGGATGGTGAACCATCTCGTGGTCTCAAAGGTCCATTTTCCGTATAAGCGTTCATATTCCGGTCACAACTCCAAATTCATTCTGATAAAACGTTTATGAGTGGTTTCGCAAACTCATGGAGCTCTACACGGATAGAAATTTCCTTATACCTTTTGGCAAATTTCTATTGCTGATTATACATAAAATGTATAAGTCAACTAATAAGCAGACGCCATGCAAAAAGTTAATGAAGATCATGTGTCAAATAAAATGTATAAGCGATCACACATACCTTTTATGCAATCTTATAGGACCTATGTGGTTTGTCTTATGGAATGTATAAGGTTGATGTTTTGGCAAAAATGTATAAGTGAAGCACATGGATAAAATAAATGATTTTCGTTTCGTGTAGGATCAGTCTCATGAATTGACCACTTTTACGGATGTTCCGGTTCTTTTAGTGGACCATCCTGTAGTCCCCAGTGTCCATATTTCGGTCAAAACTCCGAATTCATTCTGATAAGACGTTTATGAGTGGTTTCTAAAAAATGCGGAGTTCTAGGATCAGTTTCATGAATTGACCACTTTTACGGATATTCCGGATCATCCACAGGATCAGACTCTTATCCTACAGGAAACTGAATCGTCCCAAAAGGTGGCCAACTTTCTGCTTAACAACTTCTCAGAAGACATCAGGAAGTTATCTTTTCAAATCAGTGAGATTTTCAAATTTTCAACCAAAAAATTTCAACAATGTTATTGTTTTGTTGACATCGTTTGACAGTCCACTTGACCGAATAATGTCAATTTCGTGCGCGGTCTATGCTTAGAATTGTTAAGAAATGTCAAAGTGCATCTGGTACCACTTAAAGAGCCTGAATTTATAAAGAGACGACATCTCATCCATTTGACAGGTCTTCTGCTCGATTGGACTGACTTTTCCTATGACTTTGACAGACAATCGATTGTTCCAATTTTGACATGTCGCCTCTTTATAAATTTAGGCTCTTTAGTACCACTAACACTGTTTATTTTCGAAAAAGCTTTCGTTCGAACGGGTTCGTACGAAAACCAGAATGCCGTTTTCGAACTCGTTCGAATCGAGTCGTTCGTACGAACGAACGATTCGAACGAAAACGGGAATAGAGGTGAATATGTCGATGGTAGAGTGAACGCCAGACCGGCTCAACCGGGTGGGAGAGTCCGGCGCTAGTACGGTGTAGCGAGCCTCTTGCAGGTCGTTGTTCAGGATTGTGCCGTTTTGGTTGCGTCGACTGTTGCCCCAAGCCTGGTGTTTGGCGTTCAGGTCACCCGCGATGATGTACTTTGATGATTTTCAGCTGCAAGCTCGGCAGAAGCCGACAGCAGATTTTTCTCCTTACAGCAATGGCCGCTCCTCCTCCCCCGGAGCTGGTTTGATCAAGTCTTAGAAGCCGAAAGTCAGGAAGGTAGACGTTTACCTGCGGTTTCAGGTGGGTTTCAGTGATGACGGCAATGCCGATGTTACGTTCGTTGAGGAAGTGAACGAACTCGATGTTCTTGCTCTTGAGCGAGCAAGCGTTCCAGTTGGCGATCTTGATGGCTTCACGGTCCATAATTGTCGATGAAACGTGATGCAGCAAGAATCTGCTCGGTTCTGGTTCTGCAGGAGCGCTTGATGATGATTGCTTCTGCCATGATGTTCGTTTTCGTTTGATGGTGGGGCGTCATCTCGACGCCACGATAGTCCTGGGGAGGGGACGAAACCGTAGCCGCATAGGACTGACGGCTTGGATTAGCCGAAAGGTTTGGCACATCCGCAGATGGCGGGACCGATGCAGCAGCAACAGCAGTAGCCAAACGGATGTTGAGCGGAAGTGGCGGAAAAACTGGAATCGGACGCCTTTGGCTAATGGCGGGAAAATTCTGCTCATTGCGTACCGGAACCTTTTTCCGAAACGGCTGGTTCTGCGTGGAGGCCCTTTTGTGGATTTCCATGAATTCCGCAGGCTTCGGACAAGACTTGCTAGTAGCTCGATGTGCTGCATCTCAGTTGGCGCATTGTGGATCGGTGTTCTCCATCCTGTCGCATGCTTCAGGTGCGTGCTGCTTGCCACATTCGTAGCAGCGATGAGCCATGTGGCGATTTTCGGTCCCGTGCCCAAACATTGGGCAGTTTGAGCATTGGATGACGTTGCGGGGGCGAGGTTGGTAGCGTTCCCACTTAACCACGATGTGGAAAAGCGCCCGAATACACTGCAGGTCCTTCAAACACGTTGTGTTTCGCTCTAGGTGGACCAAATACAACTGATCACGGTACGGCACGGGAGACGTCGTGCCGATTCATCTTGAAGACTTGCAACGGCTTTAGGCCGTTCTTCTTCAGCTCATACGACAGCGCGGCGATTTCCATGTCGGGTAGACCACGCAGGACGACATCGTGAGAGAAATATTCTCATTTTTCCCGCTTCAACAGCTCTTCGATGGCGTTGTAGTACTTCCTTGCTGGTACCATCAGCATGATGCCTTCAGTGCACATGCGCATGGTGCACTTCAAGCCTTGCTCGATGTAGAATTTGATGTTCTCCTGAAGCCCGGGCGGGAATCTTTTGACGAAGAAGAATGGTAGTTTCTCCTTTTTCTTTATTTCCGGTTCATCACCATTTTCGAGAATGGCGTACCGGTTGTTTGAAAGCAGCTTTTTCGATGCCGACTGAGCGTTGGCGGTTTCCTGTCGGGGACGCTTCCCGTACGAGCTTGCAACCGCATGACCACGCGGCGGTTTTTCCATGCTGGGATCAATCGATGTTTCGCTTAACACCGCGAAAGAGAGACGCGAACACTATCGAACGAAAACAAAATTTAATACTCTACACAGAGAGAGAGCGGACAAAACCGGACTGGACTGCTTGACGATCAAGCAGAGAATGAGTTCCAAAGTCAACTGAACTGGTTCTGTATATTTCTGACATATTTATCCTGGCATCAGTGTTGCCAAATGAGCACAGGAATTTAACATCGCACCGTCATTTGACGTATCGATGAAATGCACACGTATGCCACACTTTGTAGAGCCTCAACGAAGCGTAGAAGATCGACGAATTAAGTAAAAACTCTGTGAAATATGTAGAAGCTGTTGAATGATTGATTTGATTGATTTCTTTATTATAGAGACTTTCAGTCGTTGGCTGAGTCGTCTCTGAGTGTAGAACTTTATTGAACTTCGCAGAAAATAGGCGAACTTTAGAGAAATTCTCCCTGAAGTTGAAGTGTAGGGATTTCTCTTCAAATTCAGAAAGATTCGTAAAAAGTTAAGTTAAGTTTTCTTTATTAAGGATGCTTTCAGCTTGGGGCCGGTTCTGAATGTTTGGGAACCGTCTTTTAATCTTAGGCCACTTCGTTGAAGTATAAAGGACTTGGAATTAAGTACAAGCTAAGGAAACATGGATCCTTGGAACATCACGTAAAATCAACGAGCAACATAGAAGTGCCAGCCCTGTCATGGTGGTTACTCCATGAGTAACCAGCTCTCACAACCGACTTGTTTTTAATCAAAACTAACTGGGCGCAAACATATCGATCTAGATGCACTGCCCATAAACGTATAACAGTCCCACGTGGTTTTTCAACGAGATGAAGATCAGACAGCTTCACGACAGTTCCATCATCATCATCGTCAGGAGCTTTACAAGAACTTCAAGAATCTTCAGAATACGGAGTTCGGAGAGCGTCGAGAAAGTTCTAACAACTTCAGGGCAGTTCCATTGTGAAAATTGTGGAAACATGAGAGAAATTCTGAAAATTTTGAGAACTTCAGGTCTGTTCGATTAACTTCAGAACTTTACAGATGTTTCAAAAACACAGTCCAGCATACAAAACGAAGTTACGAGTTCTATGAGCGCCAGAACTTATAGACAATTTTGAAAGCTGTAAGTCGAGGGACAAGACATTGTAATATTTAGATCTAATAGTTAAGCTAATATATGTTCTAATACTTTCTAATATTTTCTAAACACCCCTAATACTGATCCGGATTTTGGGTTACTTTTTGTTCAAACGTTCGCGCGCGAAACGCAAGTCACGAATGTTTTGACAGTAAGTTTGTTTATTACGTAGCAATTTACTTCCTCAGGGAAATTTTGAAAAAATCCAGGGAATCTCTTAGAAGATCAAACAATTTCGTAACATGTCTTGCGAAATTCGTTTTTTTGCTTCAGTTATAAGAAGCACTTAATGTGGCCACCAATCATCTTATTTTCAAACCTCATGCGATTCTCAGACGTCTCAATTGACAAAATGGTGGAACCTACTAACAAATTTCATTCGTTAGGCTAGCGCAAAAGACAGCTTCGACCAACTAATACAACCAGTGGCGAAGACATTCCGAAGATCTGAACAGGATGACCTAGATAACTCAACGGAAATCGCTGATCAACCTCTAATGCAACGTTTCGATATAAGCCTTCATTTGGAATCCCAATCACAAAACCGCCATGTCTACATGCGCGATCTACAAAATATCAAGCTACCTGCCGTTTCAGTAGTTAGTCTCTAAGTCACCCGAACCCATAATCTCTTTCTAATGTCGTCCCTTTTCACAGAACGAACCGGGCCCGGAAAAACGTAATCATGCGACAGCGAGGGACACACCCAATCGAAGCTCCGATTCCAGTCGACTGGTAACGCTACCCTCTATAGCCCAATAGATTACAAGTTAGCACATGTTTGCCCCTTTTACAGTTCATTTCTTTCGACTACGGTACTGAACAGGTCCCGCAAGAGTCCCCGCCGATGGCGACGAGCCCGACTGCGATTGCGCCAAGGGTTCAAGAAGAGCATGCCTCCCTCCAGCCAACCATCGAAAGTCGGCTTCGATTCCAGGTCGTATTGCGGTCCTGTTGGCCGGAGCTTTTTTCGAAGACGGGAACCTTCGGCGATTTCTATGAACTACTGTCGATTCTGGCCGTGAACCTTTTTCCTCGCATACGACCGACGGACATCAATCAAGTCATGGCACTTTGGCCAATGTTTAGTGCGATCGCGAGTCAGATAGCATTCGGAACCTGCTTGCCAGCGGGTCCGCAACAGTCAACTAGAACCGCTGTCGTTGCTGCTAACAATGCGGAAAGCTTAGGAACTAGTCAACATTCAGACGGATATAGTTGTGGAGTGGTAGATCGCCAAGGTTGTACTGCTGAGAAGGATGAAGAATTATCGCAAAACGATGCCAGAAGTCGAATCAAAGTGTCTCCGTCGTCGGTACTCATCATAGAGATCTCCGAGGATAGTGACACGGAAGATCTGCCCGTGCGAAAGGTAAGTGTGTCGTTCCATTTTTTCTATGTTTGGAGCAGAAATTGTTGGTGATACAATCTACACTGCACGAAGGATTCCCCTACTGTTACTAACTAGCGCCGTGCCATCTTCGAACTGAACAAACTCCTAAATGCTTGTATTTTAATATTCGACTCTTCTTATTTCCCTATCGTTTCAGAAACGTGGATACAGAGTACGTCAATGTCCGCAAAACCTAGTAGCAAAGGATGTGTGAATACCTCAGTGCCCGACAAATAGGTAAATGAGCCTTGATACAGTCTCACCTCGATATAATGTAACTTTTGAAAAAACTAAAATCTAAACAATAGATGTGCTCGGAAACTGGAAAATATTTAAGGACTAATTTGATTTTAAATTGATTTGAGTTGTATGAAAATGTACAAAATTCATGACAGGGTCAATGACGCTGCTACGTGAACAAAATTATCATTCGTGTCCCTCACAGTTAGCAAAGAACACCTTTTTTTTATCTAGTTCGTTTATTTGGAAGGCTCAATCGCGTTAGCTTTACGGAGCCGATAATTCATTGTTCACTGTGTGTAACAAAATTCACTTAATTCTATGTCTAGTAGGAGTTGGGCCGATTACTCGCGGCTTACTCGAGGTTAGAAGGGTACATTTTCGAAGGATAGGATCAGGGGAGGAGCTTGGGGTAGGGTTTCGTTGTCTCATCAGAGCGTTGTCGCCAGTATGAACGGTAGTGCTGTTCTAGCTTCGTCCGGAGTTCGACTGGCTATGGTGGGTGACCAGTGGGCGACGATGAGACTCATCGAGACGGGGGGACAAGACAAACAAAAACTAATAAAGAGAGACAAAAGACAAAAGGAATTAAATTCTTATATTAGACATTTGAAGAAAAACATAAACGGACTGCATATAGCAGAGATCACGGGTTGCCAACACGTCTCTGATAGGAACATAGGGTTGTCTTCCTTGGGCCTCGAGGGTATTCAAAAGTCGCTCTCTGGCGGCGTCATTATCCGTACATTGCCAAACTGCGTGTTCGATGTCATCGTAACCGTTTCCACACCGACAGATGTTGCTGTCCACGAGGTTTATTCTATTGAGATGAGCATCTAGCGAGTAGTGGTTGGACATAAGTCTACTCATCACGCGAATGAAGTCACGACTTAAGCCCAAGCCTTTAAACCACGCTCGTTTGCCAACTCGAAAAGGTACTCTGACGCACTAAATCGTAAAATTCATCGTGTGAAATTTGCCTGTCATACAATTCGCCTTCCTGCGCGCCCACCTTTGCGAGAGAGTCCGCCTTCTCATTGCCTGGGATTGAGCAATGTGAGGGGACCCATACAAAGGTAATCATATATGATCTTTCGACCAGTACACTCATCTGCTCCCTTACCTTTGAAAGGAAATAAGATGAGTGCCTACCTTGTTTCATCGACCGAATAGCCTCAATCGAACTGAGACTATCCGTGAAGATGAAGTAATGGTCTGCGGGAATGTTGGAAATCATCCCCAATGCGAAGTTGATTGCTGCCAGTTCAGCCACAAAAACGGAACAAGGTTCCTGGAGTTTGCGGAAGGCGCTAGAGTTTTCATTGAAGACACCGAAGCCAGGGAATCCCATGAGTTGCTTGTTTCATGGTCAGATCATATTCAATTGAGGAACTGCGATTGGTGAAGTGAACACGGTCTGGAGTATAACAAGGAAGACACATATCTGATGATATGTAGTGGTGGTAGATTCTCATAAATCGAGATTGTGTGTTCAGCCCAAGAATTTCTTCAAAATTAGCAATTATAAGTGTGTTCGTCACTCCGCATTTGATTAGTATTCTGAGAGAGAGCTCCCAGAAACGGTTCTGGAGGGGTGTTACTCCTGCCAGAACCTCGAGACTCATGTTATGCGTTGAGTGCATACAGCCTAGAGCAATACGCAGACAACGATATTGAATTCGTTCCAATTTTATTAGGTGACTTTTTCTTGCCGAGAGAAAGCAGAAAGAGCCGTACTCTAGAACAGAGAGAATAGTTGTTTTATAAAGCGTTATGAGGTCTCCCGGATGAGCACCCCACCATGTGCCGCAAATTGAACGGAGAAAGTTGATCCTCTGCTGACATTTTTGCTTCAAATACGTAATATGGGCATTCCAAGTGCACTTTGAATCAAACCAGACCCCAAGGTACTTGAAAGACAATGATTGGGTAATGTTTCTGCCCAAAAGATTAAGCTGCATTTGGGCTGGGTACCGCTTTCGAGTAAACACTACCAGTTCAGTTTTCTGCGGCGAGAATTCGATCCCTAGATTCATAGCCCAAGAAGACAAGTTATCTAAGGAATTTTGCAATGGTCCTTGCAAGTCCACGGCATGTGGACCTCTTACGGAAACCACACCGTCATCTGCAAGTTGTCTTAGCGTGCATTGTTCTGCCAAACAGTTGTAGATATCTTTGACATAAAAGTTATAAAGAAGAGGGCTGAGACATGAGCCTTGGGGCAGGCCCATGTAAATAATTCTGGAAGTTGTCAGTTTTCCAAGAGAAAAGTTCATTTGCTTTTCTGACAACAAATTGTACAAGAAATTATTTAAAATTCCAGAAAGTCCACATCTGTGCAGATTGTCTGACAGAATTTCAATGGAAACTGAATCAAAAGCCCCCTTAATGTCCGAGAATACTGAAGCCAATTGCTCCTTGTGCGCAAAGGCCAGTTGAATATCTGTGGAAAGCAGCGCTAGACAATCGTTTGTTCCTTTGCTCTTGCGGAACCCAAACTGTGTATTTGATAGTAAGTTATTTGATTCGACCCACTGATCGAGTCTCCGAAGGATCATTTTCTCCAACAATTTCCTAATGCACGAAAGCATAGCAATCGGACGGTATGAGTTATGGTCAGACGCTGATTTGCCAGGTTTTTTAATGGCTATTACTTTGACCTGTCCCCATTCAGGCGGTAGGGTTTTTGATCTAATTTCCGTCTTACTAAGAACAACCCGTGCTTTACCTCTCTTTTCTGAACGAATTTTAACCAAAAATGGAATATTTCTGTCAAAGATGACTTCTAAATTTATCCACCTTTCCATACGTACCGCTGGATTTGATAAAGAGTCACAAATTGTTGAGATATTGTTCAAAATCTAATACTGCTTCTTGATTCTAAATTCGTTCTACGAGTTTCAATTCTGTCCTAACGCATTGAAACGCCATTAGATTTTCTTCGTCCTACGGATAAACGTAGAAAAAGAGAATTCGCTAGGTGCGCTTCTTTTGTTTTGAGAACAATGAGCGTAAATATTCATACAATGCGCTCTAACAGGGTTTATGTTGTAGCTAATGAACTAACGCATCGGAACAAACCTATTATTGATTTGTGCACGGTGAAATCATTGATATTATTGATATTTTCTGATCGATAGAACGGAAATGGGCGATTACGACGAAGTAGCGCTCTACCCTACAATGTTGTTTTTTAGCAAGGAATTGAATAAATCTAGCAAGCGTCTTTTAGCGATATCTGGGAGATTTTTCAGAAGATTGAATTTAATCATATCGCTTCCCGGTGAGGAGTTGTCCGATGAAAGAAGAGCCATAGAGAAATCCAGCATTGAGAATGGTCTATCCATCAAAAGAACACCTTAGTTTTTATTGTTCAACCAATGTTTATATTGCTTCGATGTAACGTAACTAAAAAAAATAAGCTACGTTACATCGAGGTGTGACTGTACTCATAAAAGTTCCACCTATTTAATTGTTAATCTGTGTTTGCGCGTTAAGTTATTCGTTATGTTCTTAATAGCAAGGTATGTGATATTCTACTAGACAACAAACCAACGGTCAAATAAACGAAAAATCGAATTTAAATAATTCATACAAACGGCCTATGTATTTTCACTTCATTCATTTTTTTTAAACCTTCTATTCCGTCCGTTGGTCCGTCGTCCGTCCGTCTGTCTGTAGGTCCACCTTCAGAGTTTTCTTTTTCGATCAACCATCAGCAAAATCACTCCGCTTCTTTGAATAATTATTATTAACCAGTCAGTGTCGATTGACGCTCCACCAGAAGAGTACCTAGCGTGTTTTTCGTATTTCAAACCATGCATTATATAGCCACCGGGACTGAAACATTATTGTGTTGTTGGAATCGATGTGATTTTCGGGGAATTGTATTGACTTTTTTCTTTTGTTTATGCGGGGAAAGCAAACTATTTCGAGCATCAAATTAAACAATTTAGAATTTGACACCACGGAACTTTCAATGTCCATTCAAATGGTTGGTGGGTTTGGGATGTTTCTATAATTTCTTACGATCTGGGTTGTTCGTTTGTTCAATTGTATTGTAATATTTTGATAATTATTCTATATAGGGTAATAAACGAGGAGCTCAATTTGCTAATATATAGTACTTGATCCAGGACTAATCAAATATGGGATCTTTGTTTTTCACAACAAGCGCTAAATTGTAAGTAAGAATTCGAACAAATGAGAAAATGCCCGTTTCTCAAGTGGGTGAGGCGAGGGGGGGAGAACGCAACGGTATAAAACACGCACAGAGCTATTTCGACTTTGAAAAAAAGGGGAAAGAGTGAACTAAGGAAACGCGACAAAAGATTAGGATCCAAGATTTGCTCTAGTAACTATCGCTATCGTACAGGTTACCACTGAAGACGTCGATCGATTCGTTCCGTGCATTGGCGGTCGAGTCGTCGCTAGAGGCCTGCTCCCCGCCGACCGAATAGTCCGGATCCGCACTACTGCTGCCAATGTCCGCTTCGCCGAGCCCACTGACCCCGACGCCTCCTAATGCCGCTCCTCCTGCTCCTCCTTCCGTTCCATCATTGGGAGACCCCGTCGCTCCCCCTGCAACCCCCGGACTCGACCCGGCCACTCCCAAAGCTCCAGTTCCGCCATCCTGCGTTCGCATGATCGAATCAAAGTTGTCCTTGATCTGATTGTTCGCCCCCTTCGAACCCAGATCCGTCGCCCAGCTCAGATGCATCAGCGCTAGATCCACATTGCCTAACTTTTTGTAGATCTTACCCATCACATAGTACACTACCGCTTCCTTTGGCACGATCTGCTTCAACTCCTCCAGCTCTTTAAGCGCTTCCAGGTATCGCCCCATGGTAAAGTACATCGTACCTCGATGGAACTTGCACAAAGGGTTCTTTGGATCCAGAGCGATTGCGGCATTCAACGTCCGCAGCGCTTGGTCCATTTTTCTCAGGAAGAACTGCATCGCACCGATGTGGACCATTATGACCGAGTTCTTCGGATTGATCACCAGCGCTTTGCGGTAGTGCAGTTCGGCCAGTTCGTACCGTTCCTGTTTGCTGAAGATGGTACCGATGCCGAACCAGGCGTTGTAATGTCGCGAATCTCGAAGTATCGCGTACCGATACATCGAAAGTGCCTTCTCGAGCTCCTCGGTCATGACCAGCTCGTGACCGAGCAATGTGTAACTGTACGGGAAGTCCTCGTCCACCTGAAACGAAGGGAAGAAACGGACAATTAGAGAAAGGGTTGACTTCTGCTGACCTACAATGATGCCAGGATATAAAGCCACCGCTGCACACCTACCTGTATTGCACGAAAGAAGAACTTGATCGCCGTCTCATGTTCCTTGTGGGCGGAGAAGCAATTCCCCGCGACGCACCACGTAATCGGCGAGCTCTTGTCCTGCGCCATCAGGTCCTGGGCCAGCGCCGACAGAACCACGTCCTTCTGCAGGTGCCACAGGTCCGTGCTGTAGATCTCCATGTACTGTAACCGGTGCGGTTCCTTGTCGTGTATCTCCCGGAAGATATCCACGGCCGCGTCGTACTCTCGCATTTCGTGGTGCGCCAGCGCGATCATACTCTGCACCCAACTGCTGCTGTAGTGGTGCGGTGGAACGTTGCTAAAGTGCTCGATCGCCTTCTCACAGTCGTAGCTCTGCAGCCGGAGGTATCCCTGGCCGAGCTCCCGCAGCAGCGTCATCAGTCCATCGGCACTTTGCTTCTTCAATGCCAGCACTTGCTGTGCCACCTTCTGCGCACTGTTTATGCTATTGTTGATGAAGACTTTCTCGCTGAGCGTTTCGCTCGAGGTGATGGTTTCGATCTTCTCCTTTCCGTCGCCACCGACGGAAGACTTTCGTTCGACATTTTCCAGCAGATTGCCGGCACTGCTGTTCAGATTCTTCGAGATTCGCTGTTTGGACTTGCGGGGAGGTGACCGAGGAGCCACAAACTTATTGTTCAACTGGGGACTTTTGGTATTTTCCTTGACGGAGTAGTTGCTGTTGCTGAACAGACGGGAACTGCGGCGGACGTTCTGCGCCTGCAGGGCACCTCCGGTCGTATTCGGTGTCCGCGGCGTCGTCAGCTGATTGCCCGTCTGGCTGAACACAATCGGTTTTGTGTTCGCACTCTGTGACTGTAGGAGCATCGTCGTTGCCTGGGGAGAAGAGTTTTGCTTCTGGTCAGCCGGGAAGAGATTGAATTTTAAGGTTTAAGGTAACTTACCGTCGTGTCATTCTTGCGATTGATGATATTTCCCATCGTGCCGAGATTGTGAGGGCCACGCATCTTCTTATTACTAGTTAATAGTGCCATCTTTTGCTGATCACTGTCGGCGATGATTTGCTGTTGCTGCTGACCGGCCTGTAGCTGTCCCTGGCCTTGCTGCTGATATCCCGTGGCCGAGGAAAGCTGCTGTGGCGAGGGTGTCATTATCAGCGCCGACTGATCACTCAGCATGGGACTATTCATGATGGGAAGGACTCCAAAGCTGGGGGTCGCAGGACTCATCGCAGCCAGATATTTAAACTGCTGCTTCCGGAACGGCGTTCCAACGTCACTACCCACGTTGGGCGTTTGCTCGTCGGCCACCATCCTCGTGTTTGTTAAACTGCTAATGTTTTGACCCTGTGCTTGTTGCTGCTGTGGAGGATTATTTGGCGTGTTGATAATATTCTGTATTAGACACTGTGAAACCTGATCTGGAGTGGTGATTAGCTGCTGTTCGAAGCTTTCCGATCCGATAAACATTCCTCCACCTCCTCCTCCTCCAGTCCCACCACCACCACCGGTTCCATTTCCAAACCACACCATCGACGAGTTCATCGCCGGATGTGAGGCTTGACTGGTTGCAAAAACGTCGGTGCTCGTCAACTGGAACACACCGTTCGGGTCCGGTTTCTCCCCTCGGTTGCATAGGTCGGCAAACGATTGCCACAGAAAGGGATTCAGCTTGACCACCTTCCGGCTGGCATCGTTCGCCAGCTTGCCCCGTTCAGTCTTCTGGCAAATCTTCGACAGCAACTCTAACGCGAAGCAACCGATGTCGCCAAACTCTTTTGCCACCTCGTCCAGATGCCGCGCCCGCAGGTGGTCGTCATTGATTAACGTGTGCTCCGCTTCCGAGTATCTGAAAGCAAGGTAGTTTTAGGAGTCGAATTTGAGACGTTCACAGCCCATAAGATACTCACTGCTTCAGATCGAAGGCACACTTGGACAGGAGAAACCGACATTGCGTCGAACGGACACCCTTCGACGATAGCAACCAATGGGCCTGGTGCTTCTGTCCGGCCCGGTAGTAACAGGTCGCCAGCAGGAATAAACTCTCCTCCGATTCCACTGCAAACAGAAAGGACAAAAATTAGGGCATTCTGACTTGGGGATAGTTAAGAGAAATTGAAACACTACCTTCGGCACACAGTCTTTCCGCCAAGAAGATCGCATCCTGGTAGTCGTAATGGTTCAGGCAGTGCCATATTGCGGCCTGGAACGACAAAATGAATTAGAAACGAACATCCACAGAACCCTTCCCCTTCGCTCTCATTTTGTAATCTACATTTTCTTCGTGTGTTTATTTATATTCCTCCAACATGATAGGCGGCACTGCACACATCCAATCCAGTGTGATCCGATCGATAATCTCGTCTCGCTTATGCTTTTCTGGGGATGACGTTACCGAGTGTTGTATAGTGGGATGCAATATGAAAGCCGAACGGCTCATTTCTGGTTGTTGCCATACAAATACAACGACTCGAAATAAACAATTTCTATTAATAATAATAGGTTGGTACATCATTCGTCGAACTTGTCGTCCCATTTTAATAACAGGCAGTCGGGAGAGCAGTGCATATTTTGCTCCACTATTAATAAGAGATTTCCGAAATGCGGGGTGGCCGGAAATTCAGTAAAAATTAAATTCCAGCTTTTTTCCCGGGTGCCTAACATAGGGTAAATTATGGCTTCGGCACCCATTGACTGTTTTCGGCAACCGAAATTGAAACGTTTATTTCACTGTATTTTCCAATCAAAACTCTTCGCTGAATGTATTAAGCCGATTCCTTACCTTATCAGCTTCAATCTGATTACATTTTTACGACTGTGAATTCCTGTTATACCATATTTTTCTTTAAATGAAATATACATACTACAAAATACGGCTGATTTCGAGTTGCCGATAATAGAACAGCTGGTTAACACGCAGTTCAAATGGAAAGGGTGCCGAAGAAAAAGAGACTGCCGACAATAGTCACTCTCACCTGAGAAGTTTGGAGCGTTGTAAAAACATGTTCAACCCGTTTTGATCAATTCTGTCGATTGGAATTGGTAGAAAAGCAAGCAGCAGATAAATGTCAACAAACAAACCTGTCATGTATGTGTGTGACGCTGAGAAATCGCTAATAGAAGTTCGGACGCTGCTTAGATTGACGAGAATACGTAAATTCCCCTATTTAGCCCGGTTCCATTTCAGCAATTGAAGTCAAACCCCTTTCGCTAACCCCTCTATTGAAAACATAAAATACATTTTCATAATTTTTCAAATTTATTAATTGGAAAAAATTGTCAAATTATGATCCATAATTTAGATAATTTGATGAAGTCCAAAATTTTAAATCTTTTCTTAAGACTCAGAATTTTGCTACATTAAAATTATTGGAAGCAGACAAGGCCGAATTGATAGATTGAGCTTGGAAGTTCTTTTAGAAAACAATGAGATCTCTTTAAATACTCGGACTGAAATGTTGTTTGATTTTCGATTTTGATTTTGCGAGACAGAAGGGGGTCTTATGAAGGCCAGATCTCAAGTCTCAAGGCCGCATTCCAGAACGTGAGTGGAGCATGGATATCACGTCAAACTATACCCCTAGAACGGCTCCCATGCTCTCTCCATGCTGAATCGTGAGACTCCTCTTTTCCCATATCATGGCATGCAAAATAATAACCCAATGCAGGACAATTCTATAAATTGGGCAGGACAATTCTATATAGGGGAAATGCAGGTAATGTCGGCCTAAGTGTCCCTAATTTGGGCCCATACATAAATTCAGCACTCGACTAAATTTTCAATAGCAACCAAAAATATCCATTAGTACCATCCCAATGACGCGTTAATCTAGATAATGGGCCCAATCTTAGATCCATAGGCCAACATTAGAGTCATTTCCCCTATATAAATGAATTTCTGTCTGTCTGACCCTTATAGACTCGGAAACTACTGAACCGATCGGCGCGAAAATTTGTATGCAGGGGTTTTTGGGGCCGGGATGGTTCTTATGATGGTTCGATACCCCTCCCCCTCTGTAAGGGGGGGGGGGGGGGCTCCCATAAAAATGAAACAGAAATTTCTGCATAACTCGAGAACTAATCGAAGCAAATGGAACCAAATTTGGCATGTGGAGGTATAAGGAGATGCTCATAGCCCCTTAGATAAGAGGGGGGGGGGCTGCGTACAATAAAGCATGCTTTTTTTTATTCGGCGCATACACTCAAGCTTATATTGAATCCCGCGCAAGGCCGGGCACTCAGCTAGTTGAATATAAATTTTGTTCGAAGATTATGTATTAAGGTGTCATGTAACAATGGCTGTCCCCACAATCATTAAATCAACGTGTTTTGGTATGCGTACGAAAGACATCTTCCTACAAAATAGTAAATTACTAATTACATACCTTAAAAAATGGGCCAAAATTGTATGAATAAGATCTGGATCAGGGCTGGCAAATGTCATTTTCAATGAAAGATCTCACGCGATATTTACAGAGATACTTCTGTCACTATCATTGAATGAGAAAACGATGATACAGATTTTCTTCAAAATCTCATCGAATTTTTTGTCATGACAGAACGTGACAGTGTTGTGATCATCGTAATTACTAGCTCATTTAATGCTTTTAAAGTTACTTGTACCGAGGAAACCTTAATAATATATTCACTCTACCTGTTACCGCGAGGCAATTAATTTAAAACCAAAACCATAAGATAACCACATAGTTGCATCTCGTTTGCATAGCCCTAGCTGACGTTGATACCAAGGCCAAGAATATGAAATGAAAAGTAGGGCAAAAGGAACGAGAACTCGTTTTACATAATCTAACTGCAGTATTTACTTAGGAACGTTTCTGCGTTCAAGTGGGATAAACACGCCCACGCATGGCATGCTTGCGCATCTAGGTTAAGTTTAGCTTTCCCTCTCTGTTTATCCTTAACGAAGGATATAATTATAATGTTTAAACGTTACAAATGTCTCACTCTTATTTGTAGAGCCATATCAGATCTGAGCGCAACTTCGGGCTATCCAAGCCGGTGGCAATCAACGACTTAAGCTCCGATCACCAACCGGTGGTGGCTGAGGTCGGCATCAACATAGCTCCTGCTCCAATCCTACGAAAAGACTACCACCACGTAAACTGGGTCCAGTTTGGACGTGTGGTAGACCTGAACATCAACGAAAATCCGCCGCTTGACACCGTAGAGGACATTCACCGGACTCTGGAAGGACTCCACCAGGCCATATCCGTGGCTGACGAGACATGCATTCGACAAGTTCCTGTGAGGGGTAAACTTGTTGCTATTCATTCCCATACCCAGTTACTGATTCGCTTGAGAAATGTGCGTAGACGCCAGTTTCAGAGGACTGGAGATCTGAGCAAAAAACATGAAATGGCCGATCTGAACAGGCAGATTGCTTCCAGAATGGACTCTCTCCGAAATGAAAGTTTCGGGCGTGCTGTCCAGAATCTGGATGACCGCTCCCGTCCATTCTGGAAGGTAGCCAAGGTGCTGAAAACTCATCCCAAACCCATTCCTCCTCTCAGAGTCGGAAATGATGACAATCGGCTCATTACCCCACAAGAGAAAGCAAATGCGATTGGTAATCATATTGCTACATCGCATTTGCTTGGCTCAACTATCCAAAGTCCGCTCGAAAATCAGGTGACGCAATGCGTACAAAACTTGGATGCCTCCGCTTGTGTCGGCCCTCCGGCAGAAAATATTACAGTGGAGCAGATTTGCTCAGCGCTGAAAAACACCAAGAACATGAAGGCTCCCGGGTTTGACGGTATATTCAACTTGGTATTGAAGAAGCTGAGCACGAAAGTGTACTCGCTTTTGACTGCTATCTTCAACAGCTGCTTGGAACTGCACTACTTTCCAAGTATCTGGAAGGTAGCAAAAATCATACCAATCCGCAAACCCGGTAAAGATCCATCACTATCTCCCAGCTATAGACCAATCAGCCTCCTTTCAGCGCTGAGCAAATTGTTCGAGAAACTCATTCTCAATCGTTTGCTCAAGTTTGTCGAGGAGAACAACATTCTCCTACCTGAACAGTTTGGGTTTAGGAAAGGGCATTCCACAAATCACCAGCTAGTTCGGGTGATGAATAACATTCGAAGTAACAAAGCTGTTTCCAAGTCCACAGCCATGGCATTGCTAGACGTTGAAAAGGCGTTTGACAATGTTTGGCATGACGGACTTGTGTACAAGCTTTGTAACTTCAACTTTCCACCACATCTTGTAAAAATCACCCGTAACTACCTCCAACAAAGGTCGTTTAAGGTATCGTTGAATGGTTGCAATTCAAACACCTTTTCCATCCCAGCAGGTGTCCCGCAAGGTAGCCTGTTGGGCCCTTTGCTATACAGCATCTACACTTCCGACATTCCTCCCTTGGGCAACGGTTGCGTGTTCTTCCTGTTCGCAGATGATACCGCTATAACCGTCAAGGGAAGGAGGCCTCGTGAAATAACAAACAAACTTCAACGATGCCTTGACGCCTTTGCTTTTTATGCCAACACGTGGAAAATCAAAATCAATGCCTCCAAAACCCAATCAATAATGTTCCTCCATCGACAATCTCCCAAACTAAAACCGGCTCCCTCTTGTACTGTAATAATGGATGGCACAAGGGTTGAGTGGTCCACCGAAGTAACATATCTTGGTATGTTATTTGACGAAAAGCTCCTTTTCCGCTCGCACATAGATAGGGCAGTAGTTAAGTGTTCCAATCTAGTTAGGTGCTTGTATCCGCTTATTTGCCGCAGATCTCGTCTCTCTAGGGTGAACAAACTGGCTGTCTACAAACAAATCATTGCGCCTGCGATTTTCTACGCAGCTCCGGTGTGGGAATCATGTGCACAAACTCACAGGAACAAAATACAGGTAGCGCAGAACAGGGTATTGAGGATGATCCTAGATCGTCCTTTCGATACCCGCATTTCCGACCTCCATCAAGAGGCTAACATCCCGAAAGTAGATTTTCAAATTAACGAAACTAGGAACAAATTTGTACAGAAATGCAATACATCAGAACACGCTTTGATAAGCAATTTGTATATAGTAGGTTAGGTGTATATAGTAGTTGTAGATTAGTTGTAGCTGTAAATAGTAGTTTTAAGTAGTCTCTTTTTTCCAATTCAAAACAAACCAATCCCACTATTGGGTGTCGACTCAAAGTCGAAAAAAAAAATTCCCTGACTTTCCCTG